ACACTATATTATTATTATTATTAGTCCCTTGAGTTCCTAGTGGAACACAGGGCTTCAAGCATTGTATGATTGTGACCTTCCTTCCTTCCTTTTGAGTTGAATCTTGCTGTCACGATCGTGATGCTGGAGGAGATTGGTTCCCACTGCATGAGAGAGAGCCTTCGATGCTCTTGAGGACATCATGATAGCCACTCCATAACTCAGTGTGCTCGTGGTTGTCGTCTGGGTGACACTATCGCAGTAGATTATTGATTCTCCAGTTGACAGTTTGGAGACTCCACTCCCATTCCATCTGCTTTCGCAAATTCCAAGCACTTCAATGTGATACCTTCTCACCTCCTTTGCAATCTGGGCTGCCTTACTGGGTTCAAACATCGTGCGGACATTCCATGTCCCCACGTTTACTTTCGCTTTCATCGAGAGAAGACACATCGGCCCGGCCAATTGGCTTCCCAAAGGCTTTCACCAACTGGCGTCATTTCACCTCTCCGATTCCAGCGGGGAATAAATTTGTTTTCATTTTTTATATTTTGTTTGTGCTTTGAAGTTTCTTTAGCGGTTAGATTTGTTTTCCGGGGTAGGGTTGCTAGCCCTATGCCCAACCTTCCCTTTTTACCCGGGCTTATGACCGGCTAGTAACTAGTGAACTAGTTAACCAGGCGAGGTTATATATGATTTAACTTTATTAATACCCTAAGCAAACTTTCACTATATGATTTATTTAAGAAGCTTACTATACGTTTTATGAACCCTAACGTTTTCTAATGTCAAACAAACAAATGAATATGATACATGCTGTGAACACTTCAAAATATCCTACAAATTTCTGATATATAACAATTTTCAAATTTCCCCCTACTTTTCCATTAATTTTAGCCTTAAATTGTCAATAATTTGAACGGTAGTTTATCTTGTTGAACATTGAACTGTTAGAATATTATAGTTTAGTCAATGATCTGCTGTTCATCTTCTAAAGATATAAAATTGTTCATACTCTACAGAATTTTTAGAATGTTATATAGCATCATTTGGACAGAGAGTGTATATGAATACACAGCAAAATGAAATAAGTATAAATTACATATAATAAGAAATCCATAGTTAAAGTAAACAATCATACTAGTAATTAGGTTAATGCTCACTGTCATTATCAGTAAGTTTGCTTTCAAAAACAGAAGTTTATTATTTAGTTCATTTCTAATACTTTCTTCGTCACGCAGTAGACAAGCTGAATACAGTATTGTCGAGTTGTTATATCTTGTAGTACATGTATAAAGTCTTATTTATTTGCTGCTTGTCTTTCCAGATGACTGATATGTTGAGAATTTTGAGTCATCTGATAAAATAACTCCTATCAGATGTTTATATAAGTTAATATGCTTGTCCACAACTGTTTGAGTTAAAAGGTTTAGAGGTACACCACTAATTCTGCTGACAATCTTCAAATTTCTATACAACATAGCATAGTCCTTTTTCAGCAACCTAGAAAAAAATAAAAAAGAACACACAAGATGCAAAAGTTTATAAAACACAAAAGGGGAGACTGAGTAATACCAGATACGCTCAACTTCTTAATGTAGAAAGTTACGGGGAAAATTCTTTTTGGAAATTAGTAACATATGGAAGAACTAGGAAAGGTTCAAAGAAAATTACACATAAAGATAAATCATACCTGTAACATTCTCTAATGTACAACTATGAATAGAACAGGAATCATGAGAACTAAACAGTTCACATAGGTTATGTTCATGTCTAAAACTAAAGTTTGTTGTCTGAAATTTTGAAGAAGTAACCAGAAAACCATTCATGGAGGACCATTATCTAACGGTAGGTAGGAAATCATTCAGTTGGGAACAACCTATTGAAGAGGACATGGGTATGGAAACTGTCAGATCATCGGTATATTTCACGAAATTAATGCTAGCTGAAGATGGTAAGTCATTTAGAAAGATAGACAACAGACAAAGGGAAACGACGTCTTCTTGGGAAACACCAGTCAAGGTAAGCAATGAGGTGCAGTGTTTCTCTCCGTCAACAGTATGTTATCCCAAATGAATCAAAAAGGAAAATATGCCAAACAAAGCGTCTGTAGATGATGAAATCAACAGATAAATCCTCACAAACTTCCAAATTAAATTCCTGTCTAGTGCTCAATGGTGACATACTTTGAGATAAGATGCTTGAAATTCTAATGCAAAGTCGTGACTGGTAGGATACATCATATTGGACGTCAGAACATCTAGTCAGTAAAGGTACGGGAAAGAGGTTGTGCCATTGGGTTCCGATCCAGTGGTCAAATGGTAATGTCCTGGTCACAGGACCTGCAGGTCTTGGGTTCAATCCCTGGGAAGTGAGGTGGGAACAGCTGAAGAGTCTCGTATTAGAAAGAAACAGCTGCCTATTACTTCTAGCTCTTAATGGTTGTTTAGCTAGCATCAGTCTGTCATGAATAACACACTAAAACTAATTAATCCACACAGACTCTCAAATTGATCAAAAGAGTTTGACAAAAGATTCCATCCGCTCATGTATTTTATTTAAAGATATTTATATGTATTCAGAATAATGTAGAAACCATAAATGCATTTCTGTTGTTTTTGTAAATACTAATGGGAGTACAATTGTTGAAAAGATACCAGTGTGTTGTGTAGGCTTTGGATATAGTGGAAAGGAATGTCAGTGATAAGGTCATTTAGCTAGAGAGAGGAAAATGTTTACAGTACATGTTGGCAAGAGACTGGATGAAATGATGATGATACTGAAGACCGCCATTTAGGCGGTTAATCGACTGTTTTCTCACTGACTTTTGTTCTTCAATTAAGGTTTGTTCAAGGGAGTTGTTGGACGCCTTTATTCTATACACTAGCAATGTGTTTATGAAGTCGCCTAGCTACCGAAAATCAGAGTTTGATGAACATAAGAAAAACTAAGATTAGTATCACAGCCTATGATGTAGCTATCAAAAGTGTAATTACAATGTTGGTGTAACTGGCAAATCAACCATCTTCATTCTATCTGACATCTTTGTTGCTTTCGAATAATCCTACAACAGTATCATGGTAAGGAGGTTTATGTTCTGTTTTTAAGGTGATATTTGTCACGAAAATACAATAGTTGAAGATTCATTAAAAGTCTGGGAGGACTGAACAACTTTTTCATGCTAATATGAGACTATTTCTCAGTGCTTAACCATGACTGTACCAGGGGTCGAACACACAACTATCAGGTCTTGCAGAGAGCACGTTACCAAACAACCATACTAATAATTATTTCAGAGCGATATCGAAAATACTTCTGCTAAGTAATTCAATATGGAATACACTTCCAATGTCCGATTATCTAATAATATTCAAGTTTAAAAGTATTTCGGTAAACTTACGTCGTTTACTTATCCTACTGTTATAGTATCCTTTCACGACCAGTTTTCACATTACTGTATCCATGTAAATGAGGTAGAAACCACCTAAACATCACTCGTAATGATGATTGATTCTTAGATGTCAAGAGTTTTCATTAGTCAGTTGGTTTAAGGTAGGTACCTTGAACAAGAAGGTTTAATTAACTTGATCTGAATTGCAAAATTCAGCAGCACATCTGCTTTTTCAATAATTTGATGCTGATAACCACAGATAATTAGTCTTTTTGACTATCACAGTTACAAAAAAATAAAATTTTGGCATACTATATTATTTCGTAAGAGATAAAATGATATCGTCGAGAAAGAAAATTTTCTTCGCTGAATTATCTCTTCTCTATGACTCAATGGGCATGTTTCGTGGATAAAATTGTCTTGAAATGACTACTTGCTAAGTGGTTAACTATCAGACAGATAGATAAAATCAACGGGGAACCTCCCACACAAATGCATCGGTTCAACTGATCGCACTTCACAGTAGAATACAAAGAACACAGGGTTAAAAAGTAGGGAATGGCTCATGATAGTTCAAACCATCTTAAGGAAAGGGTGCATACAAGTGTTTAAGCTTTAGAAGACATCAAAGAGAAAATATATCTGCGTTAGTGTGGTTAATTTCCGGCCATGTCATTAACAGTCCTCAACCAATGATTCCTATAATCTCGGAGACTTCAATTAGGAAGTTTAGATCTTTCTACGTGGCTCAGAAAAAACAGTCAGGGATTTTATCGAATAATGCCACGTTTTTGGGTTTGGACACACTAAACCGTCTTCAAACCTAATCCAACTTCCTCTAGCATGCCACAATCGACTAAGGTTCACAACCTCATCAATCGACTTGTCTGTCTTGCCTGGTACCCTTCGCTTGACCACTAAATTGTTCATATGATGATTCCACCATATATGATCAATTCTACGAAGGTACCTGTGATCAAAACTTGTACTCTCTTGATATTTTCTATCCCATTGGTCACTTAATCGCTGGTCTATATCTGACACTCTTCAGCAGAACATGCTGATGTAGGCTCTCACGGAGAAAGAATAGTTGTTCGTTTGTGGAAGCTTGCCTTTTGAAGAGGTCCTCATATCTTCAAACGATGTGAAGCATGTTACGTTCGTATGATTTTGAAATAGTAGAGAATATTTGTAGCTCAGGTGGATGGTTTTGGTTGTATTATGTTCTTTGAGCTGTATTGTTTAATTCATTCTGAATTTAGTACTGATTATATCGTCTAGAAAGGCAATGAAAGCTTGACGATTAAGCAACCCAGTTCTGCAAACGCACTACAACCAAGATCCTCTTGATATCTTCTACGTTTAATTGCCGTGTTTCATAGCAGTACAACAGGACAGAATGAATTGTAGCACAGTACACTCGTGAGTATGGTAACATTTATGTCAACTCGTAATTGAACATTCCGGGTTTTTTTTCCAGAGGTTTTAAAGACTGAGTTATAAACAGACTTACAGTAGGTATTTAAAGGGAATACTGTTGTGTTTTTGTATAGAAGTTCAACCTCTTGAAATCCAATTTTTTTTCCTTTTTTCATTTCTTCCCATTTTTTAAAATTTCAATTGAATTTAGGAGTGGAAGTTACATGAACATGTTGAAATAAAGAAACGAATCATTAAACAAGAATATACCAGTTCAATGAAAAGTCATCCATGTTTATCTGTCACTTGTAGAGCAGCAAGACGGCCTGGATATTTCTATTGGAATGTTTTTCTCATCATGGTAAGAATAAACTTGGAGGGATAATCATTGTTGGTTAGATTTTAAAGACTATTTTGATAAGTCAATTGATTATGGTGCACAGGAAATGGTGAGTTGAGCAAAAATGAAGCCTAACTTGTAGGAAAAATCAAGGTTCATCGGCTTAACTAATGCTACCGCTTAGGTATTATTTAAAATGAGATAATTAACAAATCTTTAATACTATAAGGAGGTTTATTAATTGATTTTAGGTTGAAATTCATCATGGATTGACATCAGTTGGAGGAACATTGGAAACCTGGGAGAACTGGACATGAAGACAGTTACTCAACGACAACATTGAATGTAGGTTGCTGTATGTTGTGAACAGAGAGAAGTGGGAAATATGAACCATTGGATCCCCGCTAAGTGACTCAATAGTCACGTATTGGGCACGGAACCTGAAGGCCCTGGGTTCGATCCCTGACGGGGCGAAGTCATGGTTGCGCATTGCTGAGGAGTCCCATACTAGGACGAAGCAGCTGTTCAGTGCTCCCAGTTCTTTAATGTCCCTTCAACTGATGTCATTCCATGATGAATTCCAGTCTAAAGTATGTAATATCTTAACGAGGAGTTACTGCATAGTTCCTTGCATTGATTATACTGCTGATAACAGGATGTGTACGTCTTCAGATTGCTAGCCTATCGCTACAGCAGCAGAGCCACAAAGGGATTTGTCGGTCAGCTTTTAACATCCTTCTGACTAATAAAATTTTCGCCCAGTAGTCTTGTGACTGCGTAATGTTTAGCTATTTGTTCGTCGTAGTGACACCACTTATCCAACCAGGACTTCTTACCCGAATCTTTACTGAACAGATCATAATAGTAGGGCATAAGATCGGTTATTTATGGGACCATCTAAGATGATCGTGGTTTGGTAGACTTGGGTTAATGATATGGATCCATAATTGAAGATGAAGATGGTCCAAGTTCCGATGCGATTCAGTTTTTCATCGCCACGTGTCATTAATATCAGTCTGTCAAACCATTGCCACTCAACAAATGTGCAGAATAAGGAAGTGGAGATGGATTGGACACATACACTGAGAAGGCCGACTGGGGACATCATGTGTCAGGCCAGGCACTTGAATGGAACCCAGATGGGAAACGAGGAGTCCCAGCTGAGGGTCACATGAAGGAGATCGTGCGAGGAGGAATTGAGAGCTTGTGGGCTGTTGTAGAGCCAGGTTCAAAAGATTTCAGAGAATAGAGCGCATTGGAGATGTGCTACCGAAGCCGTATGTTCCATTAGGAACCCAAGGGACAAATAATAATAGTATAAACCATTGCCATCCAAGATAGTTTAGTCAGATTTATGTAAAACTGTAACCAGAAAACTATTTCTTGCTCTTCCTTCAGACAGTTTTCACATATAGTTTAATGTGTAGGCACTTAAAAGTGGCCATTGATCAAATTCCATATATATTCTTTAAAAACAACTTTTCTATCCTTCCTTTTAAAGATCAAAATAGTTAAGCAACCCTATTAGTCACCAATTGACTGCTTTTTGTCTCCGAATAGGATTGTACAGGTTTTGTAAATGAAATAGTCAGGAAAACAAATTTTCTTTACAATAACGTATTTTTTCTTAAATATATGTAAAATTCTTCGATACCATCGTTTCATTTATCTTTTTATCTATATGTCTGCAATAAGCTACTTCTATAAGAAATTTACGTTACTTGCGGCTTCCTTGTTGCACCACTTACACTGCTGCATACAACAGCCATTATAAAGAAAACTTATAACTGGAGAAATTGAACTTATCAACAAGCGAGTGACTCACACTAGCTGCCAATCTCTGATTATCTGTATGTAGTTCAGGATGATCATTAACGATTGGATAGTTTTTATTGTTCAAAAAACACACAAAAATGTTTTATTGTGTCTTACATTGAGTCAAGCTTTCAAACTTTTATAATTGCCTGGTGCAACCAGCCTCAAAGAGATTTTCCTCGAGCTCAATTGTCACTCATTACTACTACCAATACAACATTTTTTAAGTACATCAAAAAATAGTGTCTGGACAAACTGCACTTACAACTCTGTTAGCACTAAAGTTTCTCTAGATCACCATCAGACTTTCATACTTTTGCCTGCTTATCCTTCTTCAGATCTCTCAGTTAGCACTCTTAGGCTATCCTCACTCTGTTCCAGTCTGTAGTACCTTACAAGGACTATAGATCACGGAACCATATATTTTGTCTCCTGAAACCACAATCTGAATTGCATATTGGAAGTCTCTATGTTCAAATCCTCTGTAAATTAGATTGACAAGCCTTACGAGCAAAAACTCTGGCGTTTAACGCTATAGATGTGTGTTTTGTTTGTGAGACATGAATTCAGGACCCAAATATCTGTTCACTTAGCTACACTCAGCCAGTGTAGTGAATATGCGAAATTCGCCCTTCTGGTTTCTGAAGATTCAACGCTTAGTTCTCGTGATCTTGTAGGTGTTGGTATGGCATTAAGTGTTAAGGCATAAAGTGCACTGCTCAACTGGATCGTAGTTGATAGTCATCTGTAAGGCTTTTCGACTAAATGTTGTAGTATGGACTAGAAAGAAGGATGAAACTCACCGCTATGTCTTTGCAATATCTGCTTACACACCAGCTGACTAGAATTCATAAGTAGTGAAGTATGAGTTCTAAGGGAAAATGTTTAGCCTTCTACGGAAAGCCAAACTCTTAGCTAATGGTAGTGTAAGAAACTATATGGCAATATTTACTGATAAAATATCTCAGCAGACTTTCCCTATCAAACTAGTGATATCCCAGTACTCTTCTATAGAAAAGTGTATAGTTTTTCAGAACCAACAAAACCATGAACTCTTGGGTCAAGATTCCTTTTGTTTGCCTTTCAAGATACGTTCACTGAATATGCAGAACGAAGCGACCTATAAGTATCATACATTTAACCTCTGTGACCTACCCTACATAACCCTCCAGTTAGTCGAAAAAAACTTAATGTGATTCTCTATATCAAGCTGCATGTAGGAAGACAGAACTTCAGAATCTTATAGATTGGTCTAAATTTCAGCTTTTAAAAGATTATAAACGCTATCTCTAATCATACAAAAGCAACCAAAAAGTTGTTGTACTTTCTCAATGTTCATATGATTCTAAAAGTGAGATTGTATATTTGTAGAATCATGGGTAGAGGAAAGTGGAAGAACAACTCGACGTTACAGATGACGTGCCGCTTAGCATAGGTGCTAAACTGTAAATCTTCAGTCCAAAAGATCACTTGAACTTGTGAAGACTAGAAGTAATTATAGAGAATACCATTAAAATATAGGCCTCTGTTTCTGAAGATTCTCTTAAATGTCTATCCACCCATAAGTTTTTAAATTATTGCTTTAAAAATGATGTGTCGTTAGAGCTAAATTGTTTCTTTTCTAACCTAGTTGTAAAGGATTATTTATTTATATAAACATTTTGTAAGCTAATAGACAAAAAAGTACTGATGACTGACTGTAAGAAGTACATTTTTAGCCTTTCATTTCACTCCTTTGACTTATCCGAAAAATACAATCATAACGTTGTGTTCAGGATAAAACGACCTTATTTTATTACACAAGTTCCATTCAGCTGCAGAAAAACCATCCACAAAAGTCGTATTTAACTTCCGAAATATATCATAACCAGATATAAAATTAGAGACAGTCATGTGTTCACTCAAACAGTGACATTGTCCAGCCTAAAAAGTAAACAACGTGAAAATAAGTGCGGAATTTGTGATATAGAAAATCCATAGTATAAGTGCTTGTATTGTATTGTCGTTGATAGGACCAAGTCGATCGGTCTCTATTCGCATATGGGCTCCTGAGCGGGTGACTCGATATTACCTGTGTTCTAACTAAAGTAATGATGAATTGTGGCTGTTGGTGGAATTCAGGATTCATGTTTCATCCTGTTTTGAACTCTTCAGATGGATGTATCTGCCTCTCAGTGAGGAGTGATGTTGTCCCCACCAGGATTCGGACTCGGGGCCGATTACTTCAAATGCCAGGGAGTTATCCACTACATCGCCGAGCCACAAGTCCCAAATGGGACGAAATGTTCATGATGGATTCCACTACTAGCCACTATCCATCATTATTAATAATTAAGAACACAGACAATATCAAGGCATCCATCCGCACAGGAGCCCATATTCCAATAGAGACCGATCAATCCGGTCCAATCAACGACGATATAATACAAGTAATTATACTAAAACTGTACCCGTCGCACAAGAAGTGACTGTCGTGGCTCAATGGTGTAGTGGATGATGCCCTGGCATTTGAAGCGATCGGTCCCCAGTCTGAATTCCTGTAGAAACAACAACATTCACTAGGAGGCAGGTACATCCAACTGAGGAGTCTGAAATAAGACGAAATGCGCATACTGGATTTCACTGCTAACCACTGCCCATCATTGCAGGAAGTCAACGATTAAAAGCTTCTCAGTTTTTCACAACCATGAATTTAATGAATCTTCTAGAGTAGTTAAGCATAGATTAGACCTTAAATGGACTTAGGAAAATTATCGACGTCAAGATGATGGATAGGTAAGGAAAAGAACTCAACAGAATAACTGTTAAACCAGTAGTAATATTAGTGCATGAGAGGTAGTCTGTGCCTACTGAAGTCCATCTAAAAGTAAATAAGATCACTTCAGTACTTTAGCTAAAGCTCGTATCTACCTAGAACTGAGCTTCGTTGGAGACTATATTAACAAGGGAATAAACAATACAAACTGATATGATATTCAATAAATTGTGTCTGAAAGGTTACCTAATAAATTCTTTTCTTTTCCTGTATGATGCACCCAGTCAGTCAATTAAAATGGAACTTACACCACAGTTTTCACTTTCTTTGACATCAGATAGAAATAGAAGAAAGGAATTGAACTACATTACATAATCTTTTGTTGACCGATGTATATTACTTATTCCTTTGGCAGTAGTTTGTAAAATCTTTTGTTTTTCAACAAAACAGCTTCTGGAGCATATATGAAAGCGGTAATCTGAATATTGACTGATCACCGAAGAGCAGCTGATCTCATGTTGTCTAGTCCTGAGTGCTGACCAAATTCGATAGGTCATATATATAATTTGGCCAGAGAACTAGGAGGCTTAGCTTCTAGGATCACACTTATAGATTTTTGTTGGTTGGAGGCAATCAACAGGAAGGCGTATCTGCAACCTCGACGGTACTGATGTCTAGCCTGGGATTTTAACCTGCATTATCCGGTTTTGTAGTTATTGAAGTTACCATTGAGGTTTTTGGATCACTGTTTGATAAATTATATTTTAGAGGATACATGATGTTTGAACTCAAATACCTATGAACTTCTAGGACTAGTTGCGATTTGAAATGAAAGAATCAGTGTATATCCAAAGAATTGCTGTCCCATTATGATTCAGTGTTATTTAGTACTATGTATGAATTAAATTCCATGTTCAAATGAAGATTACGTGCCATACTTTAGCTATGATTCCATTGAGACAATTAGTCGTATAGATACCGAAATGAACTCAGTGAAGAAGCTAGAAATGGTAATCACCTGCCTTCGTAAGGTTCTTTTAAACGAATGATATAGAATTATAAAATAGGGTAAAAGTAATCAAAGTAGTTAGCAAAAAATAACACTCCATATATAAATCAAATAATATTAGTCATGAAAATAAGAATGTATAAAGTCAACAGCTGAAGGGCTATGTAGCGCTTAAAATATCACATGAATGTCATCATGTTTTCGTGTAGATGGTCATCCAATTTTCATCTCCTACGAATGGAGTCTTTAAAGTTAAGTGCTGTATTTCTTCTAAATTGCAAAATAGGAATGTTTCAGCAGAATTTTAATTGAATTCTATCTATTTATCTTCTGGTTTCATCAAATCATTTTTGAAAAGTAGACGACAGTCAATGTTACATTCAGTTTTCTTAAATATCACTTTACTCAGGAAAACAAGTTACGCCTAACTTCTTTTTTATTCATTTGGTTGTATTAATTGAGTTAGGTGGTTTAATCATACACCACTCATTGTCCTTCTGAGCCTTCAAGATTTGTCCATGAAGGATTCAGTAGATACTCATGATCGAGGGGTTTGTGATTAATGTGTTCCTTTGATTTTAGTTTCGTTAACTATATAGATGTTTCTGACGGATGTTTGTTTCTCTTCCTGACCTCGGATTTCTGGTCGATCAGACATCCGTCTGCAACCAATAGTTTCACTTCTGGGGACCTCAAATTACAAACTATCCAGGGAGCTTTCGTGGAAAACCAAATGTCCTACTAACATTTCATCATACTGCTGACAGAGTTTTCACAAAAAACCATAGGCATTATCATGGACAATCAATTGAAATCCAACTAACTAAAGGCACTGTCTCCGCTCCTCATTGACGATACAAAACTTTTACAACGGATAAAACTTCATTGCCCAAGTCTGATGAAACTCAGTTAACTTTGCCTGACAACATACTTCTAGTTTGATGATAAGATATACAAAAAGATGAAAGGAACGGATCACCGATATCTGGATTAATTACAGGGGCTTTGATACAGAGATGGGAATTCATCACTTTACTTGATATTAGGGAGAAAATTTAGATCCGCTGTGTGGATGGTACTTTTGTGACCATTAAAAAAGTATGAGTAAGTAAACACAAATTTTGATAAGCAGCATATACAGTGACATCGAATTCTTAATCGAGAAGGAGCGAAACACTCAACTACCATTCCTGGATGTTTTAATCAGTAGGACGAATGCCGGAAAGCTAGAAATCTAAGTGTACACGAAGCCAACACACACCGAACAAATCCTCAACTACATTAGCAATAACCCAACAACATACAAAATTAGTTACCTACAGAATCGATTTAAAACAGCGAGTACACACTGGAGTACAGGAAATTCATGGAGAAACGAAGAAAATTACCTGATTTTATATCCCAGTTGAGAATGGTGACGCGAAATTTCATCACAAAATGCCTTCATTGTCTACTAAACATTACAGGATTTAGTCACTGATATCACCACATGTAGACAACTATGGACACTAAGTAAATTTGGAAAACGTGGAGAACTTGAACGGAGGAGTCACAAGAAGTACCATAGAATTCCTAGGAGCTTGGCATTTGAAACCATGATGAATAGGCCTAATCTATTAACCAATAAACAGAATGATGGACAACTATAAGGTTGGAGGTGAGATACAGTAATCTCCAAAAGAAAAGTCTGTGCAATCGATGGCACAACAATCGAAAGAAACAATCAATCACAAACGATTTCATCAAGATAAGCTACTGAATCACTTATAGAGAAATCCGGATGACTCACTCACATCATAGTGATGTTATTTAGAAAGATAATGAAAGCTTCTCGATTAATCCACCCAGATAAGAGAAGGTAATGCTGTGAACATTCTCAACCATTTCAGCTGTTTCTGTTGTCAGTATTTGAGATTCCTTGTGATATTCTCCTAAGGGGGTTAGAAGCAAATATACAGCATTTCATATTCTCGAACTCCTCTTTTTAGAATGTAGTACTGAATGAAGAGGGGAAAATAACAAAGCATCAATGTTCAATAGTTTTGATGCTGAATGACTGAATAAACCCCTTTTTAGCACTAAACTTACAAGAAGAAGTGAGAAATGACTTTCCTAAAGGTATTGTAGACGAATATCAATTAGAGAGCCGATGAACAGCTGTCCTGTCCTACTTTTAAGACCATTTCTCAAATACAGGTCTGAATTGATGACATTCAGATAGATTTTAATTCATTAAATGGATTCATATCTGTTGTTCAATTTTCAGTATGGTGTGATAATCATCACATTTATCATATGTTAAAGCATCAATATATTATAAATGATCTATTTTTAAAACAACGTCTATTCTATTACTTTATATTTTTAGTTTATGATTTCTGGTTTGGCTTTTGCTACATTCGCTGTTTCACCGGATAAAGCAGAACTTCGACTTCGTCTATCTTTTACACTTATTCTGACCAGTGTAACTTTTAAATATGTGATAACACAAAGTTTACCCAAAATTTCATATTTAACCTATATGGTAAGTTGTTTTGGTATAGATTATTAATTATTCTGAGAATATATCGTGACCAAATAGTTATGTGAAACCAATACAATGCATGTTTAGTCCGACCATTACTGTTGCTAGTTTCACTTCATCAGTGAAATAAGGCATCGGTTTAGACATTCGACTTTCAAACAGCGAGTCACAAGTTTGAACAAGTCCAAACTATCTTGGTTGCATTGTTTTCTATGAGCTGGGTTGTTTAGTCGTGAGGCTTTCATCGTCATTACAGACGACATCATCAGCACTAAAATCAATACGAAGTGGGCTGTCAATATCTCTTCCTATCGAATCCCAGTTGGCCAAAGAAACTATGTTCCTCCTGTTCGATTAAGACACAAACCTTCTAGAATGCACAAAACTTAAATGTTCGAGTCTGGTGGAACTCATCGTATTCTGTCTGACTGCATACTTCCATTTCAGTGGCAAGATATACAAGCAGATGAAAGGAACTCCAATAGGGACATCGATATCCGGACTAATTGCAAAAGCAGTGATGCAGAGACTGGAAGCCATCGTCCTACCTGTGATAAAACCAAAAATTAGGATTCGCTATCAAGACGATACTTTTGTCATCACTAAAAAAGATGATGTAGAAAACACCCTCAGCTTGATCAACAACGTTTTCAATGACATCAAAGTCACAATGAAGAAAGAGTCAAACAACCAACTACTATTCCTGGATGGTTTAATCAGTAGGACGAATGCCGGAAAGCTAGAAATCTAAGTGTACACGAAGCCAACACACACCGAACAAATCCTCAACTACATTAGCAATAACCCAACAACGCACAAAATTAGTTGCCTACAGAATCGATTCAAAACAGCGAGTACGCACTACAGTACAACAACTTCACGGAGAAACGAAGAAAATTACTTAATGTGTATTCTAAAAAAGGGCCACTACTCACAAAACTTTATTAGAAGATCTCTGTCCCGTACATCATCGACTACAAAGTCATCGACAGAAATCAATAAATGCATCATCCTACCATACATAAAGAATATATCAGAAATCACGACAAGGTTACTGAGACCACTTAGTGGAATTGGTGTGGCTCGCAAAGCAACAAATTCTCTCAGAACACTACTTTACAAACCAAAGGATGCGACAACCATAGAAGACAAAATCAACTGGAATAACTGTAGTCAACACTGCATCGGAAAAATTTTTTTCCTCTTTGCCTTTCTTCTTTATGAACACCAATTGGCTATTCAACGTCACACACGACATTTCATCACTCACTTCAGTGCACATGGATAACAACTATGGACATCAATTCAATTTCCACAATGTGGAAATGTTGGATGGAGAGAGGAAACACGAGGAATGTCAGAGAATTCCTAGAAGCTTGGCATGAGACCAGCCAGTCAGTCAGTAATCAACTGATGCAGAGATATAGACCCAATCTCTCAACCAATGAGAAAAATGATAGACGATGGAGAGGTCAGAGGTGATGCAGAGGCACAGCCAACAGAAAACTCTGTGCACTCAGTGACACAACAGTCAGAGGAAATAGGTAATCAGAAACCGGTTCGTGAGGCCAAGCTACTGAGTCAGTCATGTAGAGATATTGATAGGTCACTTCATAGTGAAGTTAGTGCTGTGGATGATGTTGGTGTCTCGAAAGACGATGAAAGCTTCACGATTAAACGACCCAGTTGAGAGAACACAATACAACCAAGACGATCCACCTAAGCTACAATTATTCTCCACAATCTCCCAACTACCATACTTTCAGCTGTCAGATAAGACCAACGGGTGCCACACCAAAGACGTTGGTCACAGCATTGAGAATGAACCTAGTAGTACTCTTTTTTGTTTATTTATATGTAAATAGTGGCTTTTCTAAAGGAAATATATATTTGTATAATCCTAATAAGTAGAAGAATAGATTTCTGACGTTTAGTAGCTTGATTGATGCCGCTTCTTCAAAGAATAATACCTGTACAAGTTATTGCATGTATAATTAGTAAAGGGAGATATATCAGATCACGTTTGTTCATACCTTATAGCAGTAATATGGGAATAAGTGTCATTGTTATCAGTCACTGATTGATGAGCTCATGGTGAGCATGTGTACATATGTGAATAGATGTGAATGGATACAGTTTGTTTGTGAGTTGACTAGAGTATGTGCCAAGTTATTTCAAAAATACTTCCTAACTTGGTCGGATAGTTACACCTTCCTTTCTGAGGATTGTAATAGGATTTAAAAAAATTATAAATCGCTTCATTCATCCCCCTTTCTTTGTAGTTTCACAATCCTTTTCGAACTATTTTGACATTCATTTTGGAGGTTTGAAGAGATTTATTGATTTCAAGGTGGTATTCATCATGCAGTCATATCAGTTTGAGGAACATTGAAAGCCTGAGAGTATGGGACTCTTCAACAATGCATACTTATAATATTTTCAATTTCAGATTGAATTTATAGATTACTCTATTCTGCAGATTACATGATCTTCAGCACAACTGACTATGGGTGCAGACTAATATCCTGGCACAAATTTGTCTCGAGATAGAAGAAATTCTATCCTAAGAGTATTTGTTGTCTTGTAGACGGCTATAATTAAGTGTTCCCCTAAAATTCTCTATATTTTGATAGAAAAGTAGAACTACTGAACCAATTCAAGATTCATTATTTGATTTTCGTTTGTGGTTCTAAAGGTTGTGGTTCCTAATACTTTGTTCGATATTCCTAGGGTAGTAATTTGATATATAAAACTTCTATCAGGGTTTCTTACTTCCATTTGTCTGTCTTTTTCATTTGATACCATCTTAGATTTGTTTATTTGTTTTATAACACATAGTGATCTAGTATTATTCACCTGATGACGTTTCGACCATAAATTATCATCACTCATAATCATATCAGTGCAATCACACTCCACTTTCGACATTTGATTTTTATAGTTACGTCATTTTACATGGTTCCATCGGATCCTTAAGCCGACAAAGTTGATCTCTGAGTGAGTTTGTAGGTTTAAATGCCACCCTAATTCCAGTCCTGTTGAGGATTATACATAAAGTTTCTGAGGTACACTTCTCATAAGGTAACACAATGGAGGCTGTGAACTCCTTTTTACTCGTGTTGTCGTTATTAGTCACACTCATGTGACTGTTATTTTTTCATGTTTTGAGGGTCCATAAGAATTCATCAATAAACTGTGGAGGATAATAATTAACTATAGAGCTTCTTTTATGTGTTTGAATTCCTTGTTTAGGTTCTTGCACTGACTAGTCAGTTTTCTAGATCTTTCATTAAGACATTTGACTAATCCTGCCTTAACCGACATTGGGTGGGATAATTTGAAGTCTAGATACCTGTTGGAATGTGTTGGCTTTCTGTAGACAGTAGTATTCAAGCCACCGTTTGTTCTTCGTTTTATTCTGCAATCCAACATAGGTAATCCTCCTCGTTCATTTTCTACCTCGTAGGTGAATTGGATTGCGTTTACTACTGAGTTTATATGCATGATAACTCGTACAGGAATGATTCTGTCAAGAAGAAACTTCAAAAAGGTCGTGAAACGTTAGCAGATTAGTTTTCTATCTTATTGGGATTTCAAAAGTATATATATTTCTTTTATAAATCGTGATCAACTTATTCAAATCTGCAATGACAAACTTTGATCCTAAAGTCTATAAAATTGTATTTTCTACCTCATCATTCAGTAGAAGATTCAAAAGTAGTTAGTAAAAGGAATCTAAGAGGCATACTTCCGACAATATTAGATTTGCATGAAACAGTATTATTTACTTGTTGACGTTTCTAGTAATGATTATTGCCCATAATCATATGATTGTAATCAGGTAGCTTTCGATATATGCTTTGTATAGCCTTAACACCTCATATTCTTTGCATTTATATGTTTTAGAGACGTACCTAATCTTATTTAGGATCGGATGTACTCTCGGATAATCTAAGGGCACCTTCATAAGATGCATATATATATATATATATATATATATATATATATATATATATATATGAGAGTATTGCTTGATCTATCTGTCATAACGCATCAGTGAGCTGAGTATACATCATCTAAAAGCAAATAAGCATGATTATCTCGGATTCACTTCGATCTGTATGAGTTATAGAATGATAATAATGATGAAACAAAAACCAACAAGTTCACAGAAGAGGCAGAGAAGACGGAAATTCCTTCAGATGAACCTACAGAAGACAGAGGTGATGAAGATACACAACAAACAACAGCATCAACAACAACAACAACAAGCTCAAAACACCATCAACGGGACAAACTTAAAGCAAGTTGTCTCTCTCACATATCTACGCAGCATCGTTTCAACTACAGGCGGTGGCACGACAGACGAAAACGTCAAAACCAGAATCGGAAAGACTGCAAGACAGGCTTTCATTAACCTGAAAACCAGTGTGGAGATCTGCCGCACTCCACTCAGCATAAAGCGTCAACAACATTCACATTTTCAACACCAATCCAGTCAAGTCACTGCTACCATATGCTTGACAAACTTGGCATGTCACGAAAAGCATTCCCAACTAACTACAGATATTGGTCAACAGATGCCACCTACTCTGGCTCGTTACTGACACTGAAGATCAGATGGATTGCCAGAATGATAAGAATGAGCAACGAGGAAGTCACTCTGACTGGCAACGAACCAACCAACAACTCATCTCTCAAGAAATATGCGGAATGAAGTGGAGGTGGGATGGTCGAAGCATGCACTGAGGAGACCATTCGGAGACATGACGTGCTAGACGAGGCGAGGCAGTCGAGTGGAACCCAGATGGGAAACGATGAGTTGGGAATGCGAGGTGAGGTTGACATGGAGGAGATTGTGTGAGGAAGAAATGAGAGCTTGTGTACAGTGTGGGGTGGGGGAGGTTGAAACGACTGCAGAGAAGAGAGTGTAATGGAGGCGTGCTAGTGAAGCCGTATGTTCTACCAGGAACCCAAGGGACAAATAAAAATAATAATTG